AAAAAAATTCTTCTCATCCCAGAAATCCTTGACATCTTTCCATATGAATGCCAGAAGTACTGAAAAAGATAACTTGAACTCAAGACTCAAGACTCACAGGTAGTCAAAAACAGGTTTTCACAAATTCATATTTCAGTTGTTACTTGTTAATTATTAGTAAACAGCCACAAAGCCCTAAAGACTAGTTCATCAATTCAGCATTAGTAGCTGGGCATGGTGACGCCCACCTGTAATCCCAGCACTAAGGAGGCTGAGGCAGGAGAATCGTTGCGAGTTCGAGACCAGCCTGGGCTACAAAGTAAGCTCAAGGCCGGCCTGAACCACAGAGCAAGACCCTGTCTTAAAAAGACAAAAAAGACAAAAAAAAAAAAAAATCAGCATTAGTACTGTATCTTTCACTAAACTGGAAAGGAACTGGAACAGTGCTAAAAGCACCATTGAGCTTCTGTCTATAAGCAGACCATCTACCAAGCCACACCCCCAGCCCTAAGGTCTTGTTCTTTATTCAAAGAGTAAGTCACTTAGGACTAGTTGTGTTTGAAATTCATGTTTTAGACTTCTAAAAAGGGGATATTGAGCCGGGCGTGGTGGTGCACGTCTATAATCCCAGCACTTGGGAGGCTGAGGCAGGAGGATTGTTGCGAGTTCCAGACCAGCCTTGGCTACAAATTGAGCTCAAGGCCAGCCTGAGCTGCATATTGAGACCCTGTCTCAAAAAGACCAAAAAATAAATAAATAAATAAATAAATAAATACATAAAATAAAAAGGGAATATTTCACATATATCCTGCAAATAACACTCCATAATCGGACACATCAATATTTCTGCAGCAAAATACATAAGCAGTTGTACTAAATGAGACACATATATATATAAACTGTAAGTGGGCTCAGGGACAGGTCTGGCACCAAACAAGTTACTAAAAAACTGAGATTTTCAAAAATGCCTTGTATTTGAAACTTGCAGAAAGAGGAATTGGACTAAGGCACCGATACTATTTCTGCATTTTTTTAACATAAAATCCACCTACCAACTTAGGTCACTTTAAAAGACATTACAAGTGCTGGGCGTGGTGGCGCACGCCTGTAATCCCAGCACTCTGTAATCCCAGCACTCTGTAATCCCAGCACTCGGGAGGCAGGAGGACCGTTGCAAGTTCGAGACCAGCCTGGGCTACAAAGTGAGCTCAAGGCCAGCCTGAACTGCATAGCGAGGCCCTGTCTCAAAAAGACAAAAACAAAAACAAAAGACATTACAAGTGTGAATATTTAACTTGGAAAGCTTCTGTAAGGAAAAAGACTTCCACAGAATTGAGCAGAATACCACTAGCTTTGCAGATATTTCATGAGTAACCGTTCCAAAAACGAGCAAAGACCCCAGAAAGAGTCACAGCAAATCGCTGGGATGAAAGGGACTCTTTAAGCCACTTCGTCCAATTACCCATATATGTCAGTCACTGACCTCTGACCCTGAACTACACATATATTGAATTACAACTGTTCTACAGCTCTGGCTATCCCATTGCCTGATGAGCGGCTTGGGGCACCCCACTAGACTTCCCTGTGCTCAAATGAGGGAGAAAAAAAGATGGTGTTCCTCTGTGACTCTTTAATACTAGCAAGGTGTTTTTTAATTTCACGAACTGCATTTTCTAGGCACTGCCAAACAAAGCAAATAACGGATGATGGTTCAGGAACAATAACCCTGGATGGAATCCCTCGCGAGTGGGGACTAGATCCCCACCACCCACTTCTCTGCTTTGTTGTGTCCCCACCTGGAAAGGAAGGCGGCACCACAAACTCCGCCTCTACGCCTATCAGAATTCCCATCCAGAAGGGCGGGGACCCGAGCCATCCAATCAGGGACCTGCTAAACCGCGCCCCCACGGGATAGACTGCCAAGCCTGGCGAATCAAGACAAGAGGGATCGTTCTCCACAGCCAATCGCAGAGTGCCGGGGCCGGACCCAGACACCGCCCCCGCACGCGGGGAGGTGACCGTTGAGCCAAACAGGCGGTGCCACCAGCCAATCCATATGCTTCGAGACGTTTCATCGGCCAATTAACAATAAGAACACCTCCGACCCAGGCAAGCAGAGGGCGGGAATAGTTGCAAGCATAGGCCGAGGCCAGGGTCGGGCCCACATTTTTCTGTCGGGTACGGCAGAAGCGAAGAGAGTGTAGCTTAACTAGGTTTAGGGGAGCGGGAAGTTGGAACCCGACCACGGTGAGGCGTGGCCAACTGCGTCACGTTGCTCCATCGACTGTTCTTACAAACCCGCCATCCCTCTTCTCCCATTTCTCACCTTCCTTCGCGGCATTGCCGGCGGCTGCGGCCCGACAGTTCCGATTCGGGCGGCAGCAGCAGCAGGAGTAACGGTGGCTCCGACGGGCTCCGTGGCGGCCTCTGTAGCAGTCCCAGCCCTGCGGACGATCCCAAGTGCCTCCTGCCTCTTAGCGTCGAGAGCTTTCTGCGCAGGCGCCGCGGGTTGAAGCGCTTTTTCCTTCACTTCCGGCTGGGGCTCGCGTCACGTGACGTTACGGGCCAGAGAGGGTTCTGGGGGTTCTCTCCTCTTGGTGAAGCTAGTGAGTGCCATTTTGGAATTGGGCAGGAAGTACCACCTATCGTAGAACCTTGGGCCAACCATTTCTAGTTAGGTGAGTGGCACCCTTTGTGGGCGTGGGGGTAGCCATTCTTGTGTAGGGCAAAATCTTAACAGTTGAAGTTAACGGTTTTCATCATTATCTGGGGCAAAATACCTCTTCCCGATCCTGTTAATTTCTGGAGTCAAGGAAGGAAACCTCCAGAATCCATCAGGTTGCCGAGGTTTAACCCCTTCGGTGCCTAATTGATTAAAGGACGTTTACGTTTCTCATATACACTCAAAAGTTGGGCAGGGGTATTTTGCACAAGAAACTTTGTGTTGTAAGTGTTATTCTTGTATCCAAAGGGTTCGGAACGGAGATTTAAGTTAGGAACAAAAGAGTGGCGATCGTCAGGAGGAAGTTTCCTGTCTGGTAGAGGAGACATTGTCCTTGCCGCGAGCGAACAGCAAGTAAGTTAGTTGTTCACGTTGCAGGAAGAGGCAGAGCCCTGCTCCAAAAACTGTACCTCCAAAGAATTCCCAGTTGAGCTCTGTGGCGAGCGCCCACCGCCTTGCCCCACTATGTGTGGGTTTCGGAAAGTGCGTGGTCGGAGGGGGTTGTTTTCTGTTTCTTGAATGTGAGGTTGCCTTACCAGCGACAGAGAAGCGTGGAACCCCTCTTAGCTCAAATGACTGCTGGATTCCAGATGGCTGCTTGAGCCAAGAGTTGGGGGAGGGAGAAAGAGGAAGGAATATTTTTAGTGAAGCTGGAGCCCGGAAAGGAATGGATATTTACATAATAATGAAAGGGCCTAGGAAGGAGAGCTTGGTCAAGAATATTAGGCCAGAAGAACCATCAGAAAAGACTAGAAAATGGAAAGCAGGCAGGGGAATTTAACCTCCCTAGAAGATTTGAGTGGAGCAAGGCGGGGCGGAGAGGGACGGGCTGGGATCCAGGAAGGGTCAGTCCCTAAATTAGGATCCTGGAGCCAACTTTTGACCTGGGGCAGTTAAAATGGAGATTTCCACCCGGAGCAGAGCTTAAAGGACAGAGCTGCTGAGGATAAACACCTGACTGATGTCCAGACAGAGGACTCTGAAAAGTTAAACGTTCCAGACCTTCAGCCAGCACTCACTCTCCTTGGGGAGATCCTGGGCCATTGTTGACAGAGGCAGCTTTTGTATTCAGTATGTAGCTTTTAGTGCTTCAAATAAATCCCTTTAATAACTTGGATTGAACTGCACATAACTTATTTGAAAATGGCCCCTGTTTCTTTTGTATCCCTTCAGGACACCTGCATTTAATTTCACTCTATTGCTCTATTACCTTGCACTTGCTGCTGTATTTGTGAGATCATTCTAGGATGTTCTCATTCCCTAACGTGGTAAGTGCTCTTACATTAAGAGCATATCTCAATTCTTCTGTATCATCCTACTAGTGCACTATTTATGTTCTACCCACAGTAAATACTTGCTGGTCAATTAGAATGTCATTACCATTTCCAACATTACAGATAATCAGCATTAGTTAATCTCCCACACTGCCTTCTCTAACATTGCAGATGACACTAAAGAGTTTACGGTTTCAGAGCTGGACATGGTAGCCCACACCTATAATCCCAGAATTTGGGAGGCTGAGGCAGGAGGATCACTGTGAGTTCCAAGACAGCCTGAACTGCATGGCGAAATCCTGTCTCAAAAAGACAAAAAACAAAAACAGCCAGGTGTGGTGGCTCATGTCTGTAATCCCAGCACTCAGGAGGCTGAGGCAGGAGGATCATTACGGGTTCAAGACCAGCCTGGGCCACAGAGTGAGCTCAAGGCCACTCTGAACTGCATAGCAAGATCCTGTCTCAGAAAAAAAATTAAAAAGACCAAAAAAACCCATGGGGAAGTACAAGGATGAGTAAGGTCCAAGGGTACAGAGGAGGAAGTAGTGGCTCATCTGGCAGGTTTAGGAAGAGTGAAGGTTCATGGAAGTGAAGCAAGGGTCAACTCTGTGGGATGAATTTTTGTCACTGGACGTGGAAAATAGGACTTTCCATCCAGGGGAACCGAGGTGAGGGTGACTGAGTTGGCATGGTAGAGTTGAGGTGCTTGCTAGGAAAAGCATAGGACTGTTGTTGGGTACCAGTTTGTGCACAGCCCTCAACACCCCGCTGAGTCAACTGGACTCCAGGTGGTAGGTTCACCCTCCCTCCTTTCCTTTTCCTCCTTCCTCCCTTCCTCCCTTCCTTCTTTTTTTTTTTTTTTTTTTTTTTTTTTTTTTTTGAGACAATCTCACTATACAATTCAGGCTGCTTTGAACTCACTATGTAGCCCAGGCTGGCCTGGAGCTCAGAGTGATTCTCCTGCCTCAGCCTCCTGAGTGCTGGGATTACTGCCCACCATGGTGGGCAGTTTCTGAAGGACTTGGAGCAGAGAGGTCCCATGATCAGATTTTCATTTTACAGATCCCTTTCTGGCAGGTGTTAGGGGAATGCTGAGAGTGGCAGGGAGACGCAAGACAAGAGACTGGCTAAAATGATAACCTTAGCCAGGGGTGAGGACAGTCGGATGAGCAGCGAATGTGAAGGCGATCTCTGTGCCCTTGTATATTTCCTTACCTCAGTCTGTGTCTTGTCTCCCAGTTACGTTTATAAGCTCCCTGGGGCTGGGGATATAGCTCAGTGGCACAGCGCCTGCCTGGCAAGTGCAAGGTCATGAGTTCGATTCCCGTTACCAGAAAACAAAACAAAGCTCCCTAAAAGATCTCTCAATTCCCTTTCACATGTTGCCGGTGGGATGTCAGATACCAAACACAGTTGTAATCATTCATGTTTTCTTCAAAGGCCTGGGAGCTCCTGGAGGCTGGGAACCTTGCTTGCTGGGCAACACTGTCTCCTGCTTCTCCCTTGCCACCTGGTGCCTAAAAGGGCTCAATAAACGAGAACTATCTGCAAGGTTAAGAAATGGAAACATGTCTGAGCCTTTTCAAGACAGTGTCAAATGCTGGGCATGGTGGCGCACACCTGTAATCCCAGCACTAGGGAGGCTGAGGCAGGAGAGGATCATTGTGAGTTCGAGGACAGCCTGAACTGCAGAGCGAGACCCTGTCTCAAAAAGACAAAAAAAAAATAAAGACAGTGTCAGGGTAGAAGGACTCATCTCCTAACATTTGAATAAAAGTGTTGGCCTAGTCTCTGTTGCTTTGGCAGAATCGCAGGACAATGGTTGCTCACATGGCCACAATTCATATTAAAATCTTTTCATTTATAGCTGCCTTAAAAATAGAGAAGAGTGGGGCTGGGGATTTAGCTCAGTGGCAAAGCGCCTGCCTGGCAAGCGCAAGGTCGTGAGTTCAGTTCCTGGTACCGGAGAAAAACTAAAAAAAAAAAAAAAAGAGAAGAGTGCTGGGTATGGTGGCACACGCCTGTAATCCCAACACTCCGGAGGCTGAGGCAGGATCATTGCGAGTTCAAGGCTAACCTGAGCTATAAAGTGAGCTCAAGGCCAGCCTGAACTGCATGGCGAGACCCTGTCTCAAAAAAACCAAAAAAAAAAGAGAGAGGGAAAGCAAGCACAGTGACACACACCCGTCATCCCAGCAACCAGGACGCTGAGGCTGGGCTACATAGTGAGTTCAAGACCAGCCTGAGCTATATAGCGAGACCCTGTCTCAAAAAACAGATAAAAGGGGCTGGGGATTTAGCTCAGTGGCACAGCACGTACCTGTGAAGTGCAAGGTCATGAGTTTGATTCCCTGTACCGGAAACAAAACAAAACAAAACAAAAATCAACAAAAAACATAAAAATAGTCAGCACAGTCATAATGGCCCCTCCTTTGTTCTCCTGCTGCATGTGGCCCTGCAGGCCTCCTAGCTTCAGCGCCCTTGTTAATGTGCCTTGTACCTCACCCTTAGCCCCCACCCCTAGCCCACCTGGGGGAAGTTACTGGACAGATCCCAACAGGCTCAGGCGCAGCTCCCCACCTCTGCAGCTGGGGTTATAAATAACTACCAAAGCTAAGCAATCAAATAACCACAGTTTGAAAATTGCTAAAAAAAAAATTAAATAAATAAAATCCCTCTCGCCTGCCTTGGGAGTAGCTCTTCTCCCAGCCCTCTTCAGCTCCCCTCCCTCCACCTGTCTTCCTCCCTTCCCTGTCCACGCCCCCTGGGGAGCTCTGCCTGAGCACAAAGCTGTCTCACGATGAAGACATCCTTTTCCATATTTGACGGGGCCAGAGCCCTCCAGGGCTGTAGTTATAGTTACATGATGTTGTTATGGCAGCAAAGGCCTCAGGGCAACATATGTTCCTCGGTGTAATTGGGTTTTCTTTCACAGACTGTCTCTCCCTGGGCTCTCCATGCCCAAACTCACTTAACCAAGAAGCCCAGGGAATTGTCATTATGGATGGGCCTTCATTTCCGCCCCCAGCAAAACCAGTTCCTCTTTACTCCCAAGGATGGAATGGATCCAGGAACCACAGATTGAGATTTTTTAGATTGCAGGCATGTTCCTGTATTCCTTGAACATGTATTTCCTGAACATCTGATACGTGCTAGGCATTGAGCTGGGAGCTGTAAGTGCAACGTGAGGAAGCTGGCGCTGTCCTTCTGTCGACTTAGGGCAAGTGCGTATGGGAGAGGGTGGGAGTATAACTTTCACCAGCCCTCAGCCGCCTCGATCTTTTCAAAATTACTAGCACAGTGTCATAACACAAAATAAATTTTTGATCTTTTACCTTACCATTACCACAAAGCAGGTTTTTTTATGTAGTCTTCCAATTATTCTCCACTTGTATACTTTTTCTTTTTTTTGAGACAGGGTCTCACTATGTAGTTCAAACTGGCCTTGAACTCACTATGTAGCCCAGGCTGGCCTCGAACTCTTGCCGATCCTCTTGCTTTGGCCTCCCAAGTGCTGGGATTACAGGTGTGCGCCACCATGCCTGACTCTCTTGTTTTTATTTATGCATCTTAGGTATTGCTTTATTTCTTTCCTCCAAAACACCCCTAGTTCAAGGATTCCAATTTAAGATCTTGTTCCCAGAACTAAGTGTTACTATTTTTTTTTTAAATCTTGTGATACTGATAAAAATGAAAATTGTACCTCAAAACAGTTTTGATTTTATTTTTGGTGAAGATATACTCTAATCATCTGTATGTTTCTTTTTCTGTGAAATCCTACTCATTGCTAATTTTGCCAGTGGGGTCTTGATGTTTTTCTTTTAAATTTGCATGAGAAAAGGAAAGACAGGGAAATGCTGTGTGCAAGGCACCTTCAGTTACAAGGTCTATGTTACAAAGAAGACAGGACATTCACTTCATAATTGTTTCTCTAATATTTTTGGCTCCCTGTCATCCTTTGGCCTCTCAGTTACACTTAGTGGTGAATTCTGTCAAGTAAACATGAAAACTGGACGTGGTGTTGCACACTTGTAGTCTCAAAACTTGAGAGGCTAAGGCAGGAGGATTGCTGTTGAGTTCAAGGCCATCCGGGGCTGCAGAGTGACTTCAAGGCCAATCTAAGCTACATAGCAAGATCTTGTCTCAAAACACTTAAAAAAATAAATAAATAAACATACCGCTGAGAAAGTGAAACTTGACCACAATGTGTAGATAATATATGAAGATGGAGAAGTAGCCTCTGCTTTACCCCAAAAAGTGTTGATGGGCCACTTGGAGAGCCATAGTCATCTGGGCATGGTGGCTCATGCCTGTAACACTAGCACTCAGGAGGCTGAGGCAAGAAGATTGCTGTGAATTTGAGGCCAGCCTAGGCTACATAAGCGAGTTCAAGGCCAGCCTATACTATATAGCTAGACCTTGTCTAAAAAAAAAAAAAAAAAAAAAAAAAGCCATCGTCAGCTGGGCATGGTGGCACATGCCCATAACTCTAGCATTTTGGGAGGATGAGGTAGGAGCATTTTAATTGCCCAGCCTGGGCAATTTAACAACTTAGCAAAACCTGTCTGAAAATAATTGTTTTAGCTGGGTGTGGTGGCGCATACTTGGGAGGCTGAGGCATGAGGATCGTTGTAAGTTCTATGCCAGCCTGTGTTACATAGTGACTTCAAGGCCAACGTGAACTAAAGAGACCCTGTCTGAGTGGGAATGTAGCTCAGTGCCCTGGGTTCAAGCTCCCATTCTGGGGAGGAGAAGTGCTGCTATACTTCGTGGCTCTAAGAACCATGAAGAGAGTTCTGTAGATACCACTTTTCTGGTGAAATGGGAGGAACTAAAAATGTTCCCAAG